CCTCCTGCCGCTTCCCCTCCCCCGCCCCCCCCCCCCCAATCTGACACAGTGGCTCTGCCTCTGTTGCAGTGGGAAGAGCAGTGTTGCTTCCAGAAGCAGCCAGGCTGCCTCAGTGTGGGTTGTTTTGCAGGTGAATGTGTGCTGCCCGTAAGCTTGTGAAGAACACGCGGGACTCCTGAAGGTAACGGGAGGGCTTCGCCGACGCTCGGGTGGGGTTCGCCAGGACATGTTCTGCGGGAGTGTCGTGTGGTTGTGCGATGCTTTGGTCATGAAATGTTGAGTCTTGACTAGGTTGCAAGTGCAGGGCTGGATCTTGCTATCCTGAGCTGTGGTTCTTCGAAGGGGCAGTTTGCATATTTGTAGGCAGCAGAAGGAATCTTTCTCAAGCAGATTGGTACAGAACTTAAAAATAGTTCCTTGTGAGGAGCTGTTCACAGATTTGATTTGGATGCCAAGAGAGCGCTCTCTCACTCTCTGCTCGCACTTCCCCCCTTGTTATTCTGGAAGAGTGTTGTTTGGATTAATTTGTGTGAATGGAAGGGCAGGGCTGCACTGCTTGGTGGAGGGCAGTCCAGAGGCACGAGAGCCAGCCACCACTGGGCCATCACCCTTCCAGAAGCGACCGTGAGGGCCACTGGGCAGCAGCCGATGCTCTGCGGTACCTCCTGGGCAGGTCCCGTGGCACCTCTGAGACGTCCTGAGCGAAGGGGAGCTGCGTACTGTCACCGTGTAAAGCTGGGCAGCCTCTGCATCCACTCACTGGCTCCTCTCCTGGGCTTGGCGTGCGCCGTCGTGTGCGTAGCTGGTGCTGCTTGCAAGGGCCAGGACACGGTTTGCTGGTTCATGGCCATGCGTACGAAGGCTTGTTGAGGCACTGCTGTCTGGAAGTGCCCATCAGGTCATTAACTTTCCTATTCAGGCTGGATCAGGCGGGTGCATTATGAGCCTGTCTGATTCTTAATTCCCTGGCCAAAAAATCGTTAGTTGTGTTCTTCAGTTTCTAAAGATGTCAGGAAGGAAGAAAGCACCTTTTTTGGTCACTAGAAACACAAGTTGAGCAGTAGGCTGGGAGCTGGGGCAGTAGGAGATAGTGACGTGTTATATAAAAACGCAGGTAGTGCACGCCAGGTGTGCACGGAGGCTCTGATTCATACTGCTCACAGTTTGGGTATCTGCACTGTGGACTCATGGTTGGGAAAAAAACCAAAAAAATTACAAGCCCAGCGTTGTGGGGTGTGGTGGGGTTTTGTTTTAGGGTTTTTTGTTTCCTTTTTTTTACATTTGGTTTATGAATGTAGATGTTTCCATATCCTAATCAAAGTTTTGAAGAGCATTTTGAAGGACAGAAAACAGTGCGGTGGAAATTTCAGGGATATGAATTTTGACTTTGGGAGGTCTTATTTAAAAAACATTGGTAAGCTATTGTGTGTTTCAAAGCATTTCTATATATAAAAAAAGGTGATTTGTCTGTGAACAGGCATAAAATCAGGAGTTACAATGACAGTTTTGTCTAAATTGTCTGTTTTCTAAAAGAAGTGTTGTTATCTGGTAATAGCATTTGAAGTACCACAGCAGCCTGAGAAGTTTGCTGTGCTTGGGCAATAAACATACCATATGATCTTGAAACTCGTGT